TATAAAGTTGGTTTAAGGTTTGTTAATTTTTGTAATCTATGCTATATATATATTGGCTTAGATGGAACAAGTAACCTTGTTGTATTACATTTCGATATACTTGTCGAAATATTGTTGAAGTTGCATGTTCGTAATCCGTTATAATAGCCAATCGATCTAAAGTTGAGGACAGTTCGTTCAGTTTCTTACGGGTATGTATATAGTATTTCATAATTGAGTCGTTCATTAGAATATAAACTAAGGGAATAACCGTATTGAATTTCGTTGCATGATTTGAGTAGATCTGAATAAACAAAGGCGGTGAGGTTCTAAATGTTCCATCGATATTCCAATTTGGATAGTACTCCACAAATTCCAAGTTCTAACTTCTTTAGATTATATCCTTTTTTTACTCAGTATGTTATTGTGTAGAAGAAAATATTTCCCTCTAAAACTTATCTTTTATACGGATGATAGATTTATTACGTCCAATGAACGTGAATTTAGTAAAGGATTTCTGATGTTCATGTTGTACGCTCCCAATTATCGGTTTCACTCGAATCACACATTTATGTTAGGCTGACATCGAATTTATTTTATTTGAACACATAAATATTGGTGCAAGGGGGCACCAAATATATATGCGCCAAACAAAACAACGAAAATTCGAAGAGAAAAAAAGGTAAAGAGTGTAAAAGGAAAAGAACAGATTAGTGTCAGGTATCGTAGTAATAGTAATAATGGGGGAAACGGAAAAGTACAATTAGAAGGAATCTTTCAGTTAAAGAAACAACCAATTTTTTATGAAAAAAGTAAAAGAAGTTTACAGCAGGATCGCCACTGGCTTCTATTCTGAGCCATATCTGATAACGTCTCTAGCCACTGTGTTGCACCATCTCCCGGATCCCATCCAGGGATTCGCGAAGGACCAACAGAAGCCAGCCCTTTGCAGCTTTCTTTCATATCACGACACTGTCATATACTGACCACCTCTCCGCTTTCTCCAACCACTCCCAGAGTTGGCAAATAATGCACGACGTGGAATTCTCTGGGACGACATTCGTAGAACATGTCCAAGCCACCGAAGTCGATGTTTCAAGATGGTGACACCAATTGGATTATCGTCTCCGTGCCCGAACACACGATGCTGAACCTCTGCATTACTAACATGGTGTTGCCACTGAATGTCAGCAATCCTTCGGAGACAACGATGATCGAACATAGAGAGTCATCTAACATCCTCAACTCGGAGAGGCCAGGTTTCACAAGCATAGAGCAAAACTGCTCTCATCGACGCGTTGTAGATCCGACCTTTTACAGCCAGACTAACATAACGAAGGCGCCAAAGATGGCCCAGATTGGCATAAGCCGCTCTGACTTTCACTATAAGTGCATCGATCTCATCACTCACGTCACCACCAGCACTTATGTAGCTACCCAGATACATGAACTTCTCGACTACTTCTATCTGCTCACCATCGAGGGTGAGTACAGGATTAGAATGCTGCCAGTCTTGTAGAAGTACTTCACACTTTGAAGGTGCAAAGCGAAAACCGTAGCTACGGACATTGATTGCCAACTGATTAAGTACGGATTGTATGGCTTGAACATTATTGCATTGTAAGCCAATATCATCCGCATACTTAAGGTGGAGAAGTGTTTCTCAGGCAACAGATCCACGCCACCATTACTTACATTCATCAGAGCTGTTTCTAGAATGTCATCGATGGCAAAGTTGAAAAGGAATGGTGAGATTGTGCAACCCTGTCTAACCCCACTGCTCGAATGGAACAATGGAGAAAGGTGGTTGTATGCCCTCACTCTCCCTGGGGTGTTTGTATATAGGGCCTTTAAGATGTTAATAAACTTCTCAGGCACACCCTTCTCCAATAGACAATCCCAGAGAACAGTCCTATCCAACGAATCGAAGGCAGCCCTGATGTCGAGAAACACTACGATTGTTGGCCTTTGATAAGTCTGATGGTGTTCTAACATTTGGCGGAGGGTGAAGATATGATCAATACATCCACGACCAGAACGAAACCCAGCCTGCTCCTCGCGAGTCAATCTTTCTCGGGTTTTGAACAACCTACGAAGTATGACGAAAGCCAATAGCTTGGATGCGATCGGAAGTACACTTATCCCTTGATAGTTGTTACAGGAACGACGTGAACCCTTTTTAAAGATAATGACAACTATCGACTCATTCCATGACGTTGGTACACTCTCTAGTTCCGAAACCTTTGTAAACAACGTCGTCAGTTTCTTAGCCAGAAAGTCACCACCATCTTTAAAAAGAGCCAGAGGTAAGTCATCTGGGCCAGGTGATTTGTAACACTTCAAGAGTTGGAGTTCCTTGCGGACTTCCGCCTCACTTGGTGGATCAGTCGTCACCGGCCATGGAGGGTAGGATAATCTGACCGATGTTGCCAGTTGAACTGCCCTTCGAAGAATTCTGCCCATCGTCCAAGACGTCGATGGATGTTAGTGATTGGCATCCCATCATCCTCGTATTGTTTCGCTCACACCAGACTTCTTGCTGCCAGTGACTCGGATGAGTTGGAAGAGCTTATACTGAAGTCATGACGATTAGAAGGCATACACCAGATCTTTTCATTTAAAGGACTGGTGCTTTCAGTCATACACTGTCTAGATGATTCCTGTTTTTCCAGTGTATCACTGCATAATATCTTGTTTCATAGACGCACTCAACTTCTAATCTGAGCTTTATTAATCAACTAGTGTTTACAGTAATGTTAAAACCTTCCACATGCTACTCACTTTATTTTAAATAATGTTTCTTATTTATCAGGTAATGGCTGATGTACTCATCTTTGGATCGTAAAGTTTTGTTTTTAAATGAGAACTAGTGATATTACTCGGTTTCATAGATTGAAATAGCCTGAAACCTGTTGATCGCAAGTTAAGTGGTTTAACCATTCATTCGCTAATCTAATTGACAGTATTCAAATACAGATACTAAGAAATCTCAACACACTATAGTTAAACTCAAGAGGTATTACTAAGCTTCGTATCTTGGCTTTCAACCATACTTATCCAGTCAAATAATTAAGAATAAGCTATAAATGATATACTCTTGCCATAACTTGTTGTTTGAATGCTTATTGTCTTGGCTCTTTTAGTGCTACCTTTTGTATCTGGTCGTCGCTAATTGTTATGTCGGAAACACTTATACTCGGAACAAGGGACCTCTGAAATTCCCACGACGCGAAAGTAAGAACACAAGGACTGGTATAAGTGATGATTTATTAACCCCAAAACACGACGACGACAATTCTAGTAGAAAATACACTCATTTATATATTGATTGTACACCCATTTTGATTATTAATTAGGATGAAATCACATACTAAGCATAGTTCATGTCAATGGAATACAAGAAGATCGTATATTATACAGAATATCAAAACGGAAATAATCTTGACTTTTCTTTCCATCATATAAAACTCTAATGACAACAAATCTCAATCCATGATTGAAAGTTGCACAAATTACTTCTAAATGATGCAGAGATATGTGTACTTCTATTCAATAATGAAATACAAGATCAATATTTGATAACAATGAGATGGTAGATTGAAATAATTTCTCGTAAGCCAATTATACATACACATGTCAGTAATAAATAAGAACTTTCGTCTAACATGTCAGTAAGTTTTGATAACATAATATAGATCGGATATAACAGGGCATAGCCGTTCAACAAGGTTGATATATTGTAGTTATTTTTATCAACAAAGCACAAGTGACGTCACAAACTAAATCCCAAGGTCTTGTTTATCGTAATGCTTAAAAGTTAATTAGATACACCATACCATTATAATTAGATATAAATAGTTTGTTCATCATTGATGGCTAACTAAATTAGTAAAAATGATTCAGATTTATTTATACAAATACATATTGGATTAAATAGAGTAATAATTCACAAAGTGAAATATTTTATGCACTTCATATACTTCTGTAATACATTCACTACTTATCCAAGGTCACAAAGTTGATGAGTAGTCAAACGAATATGCGAGCAAAACCGACAAATCCTGAGTTCGAATCTCGCGAGGCGAGATTGTGGATGCACACTCCTGAAGAGTCCCACAATGGAACGAAATGGCTGCCCAGTGCTTCCGGGTTTTCCAAGGTGGTCTAGCTTCAATTGATTAATGATCTCAAGTGTTGAAATATGGGACTGTTGAGAAGTGCATACTCACAACTCTACAAAAGATAGGATATTCGGTCATGTATCTATCGCGTTAGTTATCCTTAGATTATCATTGTTTTTATTGGTTGAATATCATTACGTTCTGTATTTTCGTAGTACCAAATAGAATTCGATCTAATGTTTGATAAAAACAACTCATCATCCTCCGACTGTCTACCTATTATATAGAAATATCGAAACCAGAATCTTAAAATCTCACAGGATGTTAGTTGGAATCTCATATTTTCAACTTTAGTCAATTCAAGACCGCTAGTGATGATTAAACTTTGACCGTCACTTCCATTCACATTTGTCCGTTTTATCCGAACTGTCGGAGGATAATCTCAACATTCAACTGTACACCTTGAAATCTTGTGGTGACAGTAGAATATAGCGAATAGACTGGAGTTAATAATGTGAACCATGGTATTCCAAAGTTATTGGTAGGTGTTCTGGTTTTGATGTTAAGCGGTGTCACAGGTTAATACTGCTTTAAATTCAAAGACTAGGACAAAACACACCTAATCAATCCAGGCTGATTTTCAATGGTTCTGCAGAAACGTCAGTACTTGGTATGAAAAGACTTTACTGATACTATCTAAGCTCAAACATAGTCCACTAAAACCCAGACTTTTAGTGTCTAATGCACAAGGCCAATCTATAAATACAAATGAATTTCTAATTATGTCATCTTGCTTGTAGAAGTAGCAAATAAATTTTTGGTTGACCTGTCAAGTAATAATGGCTGAAATAGAGAATAATACGATGTACTTTGAAGTGATTGTACGGTCATTTGAGACATACAGTACCAGCCGTACAAAGAATAATCATTCTCCACATGCCATCTTAAACCAACTGGCGTATTTATCCGTAGTACAGTTAATGCAACTTAGTTATTGATGTTTAAGCCACACTATTTTACATGACAGCCGCTCAAAGTAAAGTACACGATTTTTATTTATTTATTTGAACACATAAGTATTGGTACAAAGGGGCATCCAGTACATATGCGCCATAAAAGTCTCTTGATTTGTGTGTGGGCTGTGTTACAGCCTGGATACCCAAACCGAAGCAGGTGGTTTTCTTAGGCCACACCCAGAGCCTTCGACCTCAATGTCTGATCCACAATGCAGTGGAGCAACATCAGGAGATGCAGTCACATGGTAGCCGATGATCAACAGTAAGTCTATAAGCCATTTGTTCACTCAAGATTCTGGAGACCATGTGCACCATTGGTGTTGAGTAAGGGTTTTCCAACTCCCCTAGGTAAATTATCTATATCCACTAACCCGATTAAAAAGCCGGGCGTTCGCTTTTCGTCCTCTCAATTTCATAAACAGTAATGCCGCGAGAAGGCAGTGAGTAGGACTTTATTTGGCAGTGGTTGTATACGTGTGGCCATGTGAGAGCATTTCGAGAGGAAGAGCTAACTCTTTCCACTTCCAACCTTACCAGGGCATTTGAGGGCTACACGAATCATTGTTTGAACCTACAATTGAACAATTGCAAGTAGAATGCTTTAATCCCTCAACCACCACTATTTGAATGCATAAACTGGTTACTGATAAGCCAAGTATCTAACAATTTACATTTTATAAAATTAATTTAACTTATTCGAACACCAGATGTAATACTGTCAAACTATAGACTATGATATGTTACATCGCAGTCATAAATTCACTACAATGTTCCCTAATGGATAATCTCAGTAAAAAACAACAACACAACAACAGATCACATTGAGATTGGACTAAATCAAAGCCAACTATATGTTCAAAGTAATTATTAAGAATAATCAACAGTGAATAATTTTCCAATAATAATAGTAACTTAGATACAAGGACAGGAACAAGAACTAATATAAAAATGCACAAAAGTATGAAATGCATATGATATCTATATATATAACCTATCACTAAGATGATAGGGGGGGGACGTTTATATTGATGATATTGTGTTCAGGAAATATCATAAATATTCTTATCTATAATAGTAAATCATTCAATTTTAAAGAACAAAACTTGATCTAAATCATCTATCACATATATCATTTGAATAGATCTAAATGGAAAAATACAATTTCAAATAAGAGAATTATCTACAATCAATCTTAATAAATCTATTCATCATGATGATGATTGTCTTGGATATAATATATTAGTAAACATATGTAAAACTTGTTTAATTTCAATTGGTGTAATAGGTGATGTTAAATTAATATTTAATTTTTGTCGATTAAATAAAATCATATCAATAATATCTAAGATATCACCATTTAATAAATAAGCAAGTATATGTAAACCTTCATGAGGTGATGATGAGGATGACCCAGATGATAATGTCGAATCGATTGTCAAAGATGATGATGATGATATGGACGACGATAATGTGGAGGAGGTCGTAGTAGAACATGTCATACTATTATGTAACATTTTCAAATATTGTTCATTAATAGTTTGCAATGTAATTTTACTTTCATCATGATTATTATTTAATGTACAATAGTAAAACCAATAGAAAAATTTTTTTAAATTACGTGATTTAGTTAAATTTAATAAACTAGCTGATTGTCTTAAACGATGAAATGATAAAAATTTCTCAATAGATTCATTACATGTCATTAAATCAATTCTTGTTAAACGTAATAATTTACCTTTATATAATTGATAATAAATTTGTTTGAATTTTAATGGATACAATTGCCAAAATGGATTATCCTTATGATGTTGAATAGTTGGTAAAGGGATAGATAATTGATGAAATAATTTATTTAAACGTATCCAATTTGAATTGTTATGAGGGAGAAAAGAATTGAAACATTTAGAATTAGGTAACATATTATTTGGTTTTCTTATATTCTCATCATCATCATCATCGTCGTCATCACGACTGTCATCGTCATCAACGTCGTCGTCACGACGGTCATCATTATTATCATCATGATTATTGATAAATGATGATAATTGTTTTTCATTCATTATACCTAATCCATTTGTTTTGATAAACGAACTAGTACATATTGTACGAAAATATTTTACAATTCTAATTAAACGAATAGGTTGATGTTTACATAAATTTAATAAATCATATAATTCTGGTAATTTAGTTGTGGATAAATAGAATAACATTTGATTAGCATTTATACGTATATAATCATAGATTAATTCTAATACAAGATCAGATGTATGAAATGGTTCACCGGAACTAATTAAAACTTTTTGTATGATCTCTTTAATAGAAGATTTCAAACAAGTCTGTAAAATGAATTGTTTAAAAAAACAAACATCTTTACGGCAAAACAGTTAGGAAAACAGAAACTTTATATATATAACAACTACATCAAATTGAATGTCAGTCAGTCAGCTACAACGTAGGATCAGGCACATATATACATCGGTCCAAGTTGCCATACCTCATTAACACAACAAGCTGGACACCAGATTCATAAAAGTAGTTAATTCAGAGGTGGTAATATATAAAAGAAAGATTGCATATAAGGATATAGTACAGGAAGAAACAATTAGTTCGTAGAAAGAAAGATATGAAGCGATTTTAATCTCATAGTTTAATGGAAGACAGGGAGTGTATACACCTACGCCATTGTGATCGATTCTAAGCTATGTCACAAAGAGTCTCCAACCATTGGTTACGAAAGTCACGCGGACCCCAACCAAGTAGTCTGCATCTACTAACATGGCTCAGACTAGAAGTTAGTGACTTCAAGCAAAGATGCCACGTTTTGGTTTGGACGCCCTTAACACTCTTCCAACCATCCCGAATACCGGTTAGTATTGCACATCGTGGTAATCGGTGTTCGGGTATACGTAACACGTGGCCCAACCATCTCAGTCGATGAAGATTCACAACCTCGTCAACTGATTTACCATCATTCCCTAATATCCTGTGTCTAACCTCACTATTACTTACCCGGTGATCCCAGCAGACGCCATCAATATTGAATGAAAAACAAACAAACAAACAATGGGATAATCGGAATGATAATAGAATCAGGAAGGATCAGTTATCAAATCTTAATTAAATGGGTGTTGGAAAACAAAGTTATCATTCCTATTACTAATCCTTCCTCTTATTTACACAGTAGAATTTTATGTATTTAGTTTTGAATCATCAAATTGTATCCCGAGGAAAATTCTGAAGGGGAACAGAGAACAGAAAGACTAAATAACACACTGCATCGTGAATCAAAAGCACACAGGAAAAGGATTTCCCAGAGCAGATTTGGATGGAGAATGTTGTTGAGTGGCCTATGCTAACAGACGTAAGGAAGTTTGAATCACAATATTTTTTGAGGGGTAGTAATCTTACCTGTGGCTAAAAGGAATTAAGTCCGATGAGACTTGAAATCATTCCTCAAATGAACAGATTTCGAAACTAGGACCTAGAGGTCAAAATTCGAATGTCCTAACAACTAAGCACTGACAGTCTTATATATAGATCTTTTATATCACAAGACCATATCATAACGTGACCAGTTGTTCGCTTTGTACACTCAGTCCGTGCATCGGTAAATAATATGTGATGTGAAAGTCGGCGAGATGACATGGTCAAATAGGTTACACATTCGAACTCAGCCACCCTATCTTAGTTCAGGTAACTACGTGGTATCACTGACATCTAATTTGAGATCTGGAGTTCAGTACAGAGATTTCTATTCGGCAAATACACTACTTCAGTATCGGTTAGAATTGTTTATTACTACACCTGATTGTGCCTTAAATTAAATGCGTTTTTTTTAGAAACAAGACCACTGGGATACTGTATACCAAGTCAATTAAAACATAACAGTTATAAATACGTAATTCATAAACTTACCATTATACACTGTCATATAAGACAATGAGGGAATCAAGAAAATTCACGTGTATATAGAAATAATTCTGTAAGATATTTCAAAAATAATTTGTTTTCAACGTTGTGATTAATATTTTGGTCTTTCTGTAGAAAACAAAAACGCGACATTAGTAAAAATCATATACAGTGGATAATCTAAAAAAATTTTCATTCTGTAATTTAATATAAGGCACTTAGTTCCCTTGAAGGACTACTTTCTCTGAACTTTAGGTGGGAATGTCTTATCCGTCAGCAACACTAAGAGGTAGGATTCCATTATTAGTCATGATAAGACCAGGTTCATATTTCACTGGTCTGTCCAGATCCTGGGGCTTACAATACACCAAGGTATTTTAGCTCTGTTGCATTAACATCTGCTTAGTTTTGCGAAGTCGGAGAGCAGAGCTTTCCTGGAAGAGGCTATAATGTGAGACTAAGAACGTTTCCAGTGGTCAAACATTTATCCAATGACTGCTGTTAAAGAAAAATAACCGTTAAAAAGAATTAGGGTGAAACTATAAAATATGGACGACATTTGAGGGACGCAAAAGTGACTTTGATGATATCCGCCTACTAGCTAGCACTAAATGAGAATTACAAATAATTGCGATGAATCAAAACTATGACTTGCAGTCGATAGTTAGGATTAGGAATTAGACTCAGGGCTTTTATCACAAACTGACATAAGCTAAAATGCCGAAACGCTATTTAGCCAAATGGATAAATGAGTTACGTGCCAAAATCCAAGACCGCCCGAGCTCCCAATTTTGAGGTAAACTTGACCTATTTTTGGAAAGCCGCTATAGTGAACTTAAGGGAGGTTTTGAGGTTTTTGTGCTATTTCCTTAAAACTCCCCTTTGACATTGGTCAAGGTTATCTGACTTTGAAAATTTCCCCAAACTTGGGAGCTCGGGCAGTTATCTTACATGTGGCTGGTTTTTCCATAGGTTATAGCCTCACCAAATTCCAAGACGGCTGAAGACGCCTTGCAGACTGTTTAACAGGAATAATTGTCCTTACATACGGAGATTAACAGAAACACCAAAAATGAAATACTTCTGTACACGACAACAACTGCCTTAAGGTTCAACTGGGCCGATAAGACACTGAATATCTCAAATAGATTTACATGCCCGAAAATTTTTGATGAGAATTTAACACCAAAGTATCAGGAAATATAAAATATACCCACTTGACACGGTAACCACCACTCGAGACGTAGCGCAAGACGATATAAAGCGCGGTGTTTATTCAAAATACTTAGGCTTATACAACGCTGAAAAGATACTGTTTTTAGTCACTAAAAATATGTGCAGTTTTGTAATAGATAAATTAATAAAAATTCGCCTGTAATTTCTTATTTAACGGTAATTTACAGTATTTGATTACATTTCAGGATTAAAAATGTCTCCACCGTCTATTCTGCTATGTTGTGTCTCTAATTTCTAGGTGATACCCCTAAGGTTTATGTTGTTAATAAGTTCATTTGGTGTCTAACGGGATGCTCGGGAGTTTTTAGAGTGCTATAAATCTCTGGAAAGCCATCGTTGAGAAGTATGTACTCTGATATACAAAAACTCAGTGACTTGTGGTACTCTTCATAAGGTTTGAGTTTGAGTTATCAAACTAAATAAGTAGCTCGCCTCTGGATGCATTCCAAAATGTATTCTTATCCTTTAGTAGTAAAAAAGAAATTTCCATATCCCGAATGTCCTTATTGGAAATTTCTACCGCCGAACTTGTCAAAATGTGCTTCAACCTTAACAGTGCAAGGTTTACTCGAAAAGCATTTTTGTCGTAGTTAGAGTAAGACTTCAGATCATAAGGTACCAACACTCGCAGCTATTTTCTTACTTCAGATATTGGTACTCGGGACTGACTATTGTCGTATGGATAATTAGGAACATATCTCAAAATGCTAGAAGTACATCCGTTGTTATCCCACTGTGACATCGAGAAAGATACTCCTGAAAGGTCAGGTTTTAATCGCGATTGCATACTTTCCTCCAAAGTTTGACATCAGATAAAAGTACTATATTAGACGACAATTGCTGAGGAAGTTCACTTGTGTTAATTAGGAAAATACGTTCCTGATACCGAAACCTGGGGACCCAATCAGGACATCCTATAGCTTGAGAAGTGAATATTACCCTGGCCCCCAAAAGTCGACTATTTAGATATGAAACGAGCCAATCAATGAACAGTGACGATAAACCTAACCGTTTGAGCCTACTGACAAGCATACATGATGGACCCCGTCAAAAGCTTTTGAGAAGTAAAGGTGTGAGACATTAACTTTGTCCTTGTAATGAAGCATGTTTCTTAGTTTGTCCACCGCGCCCAGCAGGTTAGTTGTAAGAGTGACTCCTTCTAAAACTGTTGTTGGTGGGTGAAAAGAATAAGTACTCACGTAAATTATTTTAAATCAGAAACCGCATAACTCCTGAGGGTGCTGAAAGAAGTGCTTTAAGGTCAGATAAATCAGACTCCGTTGAAAGTTGGTGCAATTGTTGTGAATTTATGTCCGGCTTTTTATCACGTGATTTATCTACCAAGCAAAATACGACTTGTGCCAAATCAATGACGTTCGACTGGTATGGGCAGTTTAGCGTCTTTATTGGTTCTATGTCCCCCTAGCTCGTCCATTTAAGTCCAGAATGCCAAATACCAGCTCCCAATATGCGAATCTAATCATTTGTTTCAGATATACTGGGTTTATATATCAACCAAACAGACCTCAACGCGCCATAAAATAGGAAATAACGTTGTTACAAAATAAAGCCAAAAGGTGATTGTAAACATGGGAGGCAGTAGTCAGTAAACTGAACATAGCTTAAGAACAATAAATTGTACAATAATAAATTATAGGTCAAAATGAAGCTGATAATAAAAGGAATATAAATATACATAATTTAATCATTGACTAGTTACAGCATAAGAATATATAGATAATATTCGTCAACTAATATGTCTCAGGAGTTACTCGTGATTTGATCTTCGCTCGGACATAACAATAATGTGAGGCGATTTTATTGATTAGATTTATTTGATAATGGTTTCTATCTATTTCCTTCGCACATTAGTTCTTTACTTTTTGGTTTGTCTGTATGTGCTGTATTCACCAGTTCTTTTGCTTTTCGCCCAGTGGTATCTTTTGTGATTCTTGATGGTCTTACGTTACATTTTATTTTTGGCAACCGTTTGAGAAGCAGGCCGTTTCGTACCATCTCAGATGGTATCCATTTAAAAATTCCAATGAGCAGCCACATCAATATGGAGGTTGGCTTTCGAGCTCACCTACTGTTTATTGACCTGCGAAAATGCATATCCAACCATCTGGAATTCCACTGCCTGTTATATGTAAGGTGATTTAGCTCAGTTTTGCCGATAAAGTTAAAGGCTATGATGACTTGATCAGTTTTATCCGGGAGAGTCAGGGCTGAGGTTTGTCAGTTGGTAATTCTCTGGCGGTAAATATGCAATCCAAAAGCGATAGCATCTGACTATTTCTCGAGTGAGTTGCTAGCCTTATTTCTTCTTGTATTTCTAGATCTTCAATGAGTTTGAGGTATCGAGCTTCGGTAGAGTTATCAACTCTAATGTACGCGTGTCAGCCGAAGATGACTTCAGGGGATGGAAGTCTTCTGGAATCAGGATGTAAGCGTGTCAGAGACGAACAGAGCAATATGATCCATCCAGTTTACGATTGTCGTGCTCATTGTCAGCTGTGGAGTTTATGTAAATGACTCATGCTAGACATCTTGAGATGTTAGACAATCCGACCGATCACCATACAGCTTCATGAAGATCGATATACCTATTGGGTGTGTACGTGATGCCCTGTCAACTAGAACCGTAGGAACAGGACTACCCCGCATCATTCCTGCTTTTCTGTTATTGCAGAACAAAGGCATGCGGTTTATTGCCGGTTCACGGCCTGTAATAGGAGAAGATACCTATGTTTCGGATATTGCTATTAAATGGATATTTATGACGTTGCTTAGTTTATGCAACTCCCGCATTCTGTTCTGTAAACTCGTGACTTTTGGATACAGGCGGCTTATGCTTTCGACCTAGAACACGCAAACTTTCCTTTCCTGTTTACCTGAATAAGTTTTATATAGGCGGGGAGTAACCTACCCACTTTGGGATTTCCGATTAGATAATCCCTGACCTTGTGCTTTATAGTCCACAAATGGGATAGTCAGTACCAGTTTGCTTTTGTGCTTGATCCTTGCATCTTTTTGCTTGTCCGGAAGTATGTAGGTTCCAGGTGATAAAGGACGTCCGTTGGCACGAAATGCTTCGAAAATGTCGGGCACCCTGTTGCTAATCACATCACTCGATGAGTTTTTATGTTCTGGAACTTCGTAGACTATCTTGTCAATTTCCAATTGAGAATATCACAGTCTGAATAATGAGAGTTGTTTTCGAGTTTTCGCTTTCTTTCATTATTGAAGCACAGTAGATCTATCTAATAGTAATTTACGATCCGAAATAGCAATGGAACCAAAGTTCATTTGCAAATTACAAGCAATCAACCCAGATACCGTTCTAATGATAATTATAACAATTACAGAACAAAACGTCAATTACTAGGTTTTGAGAGAATCGTTATGAATTACGATTGCTTCTCTAGGTTCTTGTGTAAGTTGAGACTGGAGTTCTTTTGTTTGGCAGCTGGATGGCGGTTAGGATTCCCGTGCTATTTGCTGAATTCTTGGGAATCTTATGGGAAGTTGGACGGCAGACTCACTAGTTGACTCCCCTAAACGACCTGGGCTGTTCAGCATCCTTGAAGGTGACGTTTGATACTTTTTAACCCTGTTCACAGCGGTTCAGTCGCTTGCAGTAAGAGTCTGAGGGACTACAGTAGCATTTGGAGAGTCCTTGTTCGGGACACAAGTTCGCTAAGAGAGTCTAACACCGTCGGCGTTATGTCGGTACTGAGTTTCGGGATATCCTCACCAGATTTGGTGTGTTT